TCAAGAAAGGAAATATCAAGGAATGAAAGGAATTGTCAAAAAAAGGTATTGTAGGGAATGGAATGAAATTTTAGGAAAAATAAATTCAGAAAAGGGTGAGATTTTCAGGAAAAATATTTCTCAAAAGATTTTTTCAGATAAATATTTTAGGAATATATATAAATTTCAGTGGAGGAGAAGAGAAAGGAGGGGAAGGAAGGGGTGGGGAGGGGCGGGGACTGGGGGAGGTGAGGACAGGGGAGGGAATCTCAAGTATATAAAGAAAATTTCAGGAAATGAAGAAATTTCAAGAAAGGAATGGAAATTTCAAGAAAGAAAATTATATGAAAGGAAATCTCAGGAATGGAAATTTAAGGAAAGGAAAGAGAATTTCAGGAGAGGAAAGGAATTTTCAAGAAAAAGTATTTTAGGAAATGGAATGAAATTTTAGGGAAAAGGAAATAATAAAAGGATAGGATTTTAAGGAATATAGATTTCTCCAAAATAATTGTTCACAGATATATTTTAGGAATATATGTAAATTTCAGGGGAGGGGATGGGAAGGCAAGGAGAGTTAATCTCAACTATATAAAGAAAATTTCAGGAAAGGGAAGGAAATTTCAAGAAAGGAATGGAAATTTTAAGAAACAAAATTACATGAAATGAAAATAAATCTCAGGAATGGAAATTTATGGAAAGGAAAGGGAATTTCAGGAAAGGAATTGAATTTTTGAGGAAAAAGTATTTTAGGAAATGGAATGAACTTTCAGGGAAAAGGAATGCATAAAATTATAGGATTTTAAGGAATATAAATTTCTGCAAAATAATTGTTCATAAATATGTTTTAGGAATATATAAAAATTTCAGGAGAGGGGAAGGGAAGGGACGGAAGGGGTGGGGACAGGTGGGGAGGGAGGGAAAGGTGGGGGAGGGGAGGAGAGGAGAAGGGAGGGGAGGGAATCTCAAGAATATGAATGAAATTTCGGGAAAGTGAAGGAAATTTCAACAATGGAATGGAAATTTCAGGTAAGTGAAGGAAATTTCAAGACAGGAATGAAAATTTCAAGAAAGGAAATATCAAGGAATGAAAGGAATTGTCAAAAAAAGGTATTGTAGGGAATGGAATGAAATTTTAGGAAAAATAAATTCAGAAAAGGATGGGATTTTCAGGAAAAATATTTCTCAAAAGAATTTTTCAGATAAATATTTTAGGAATATATATAAATTTCAATGGAGGAGAAGAGAAAGGAGAGGAAGGAAGGGGTGGGGAGGGGCGGGGATTGGGGGAGGTGAGGACAGGGGAGGGAATCTCAAGTATATAAAGAAAATTTCAGGAAATGAAGAAAATTTCAAGAAAGGAATGGAAATTTCAAGAAAGAAAATTATATGAAAGGAAAGGAAATCTCAGGAATGGAAATCTAAGGAAAGGAAAGAGAATTTCAGGAGAGGAAAGGAATTTTCAAGAAAAGGTATTTTAGGACATGGAATGAAATTTCAGGGAAAAGGAATTCATAAAAGGATAGGATTTTAAGGAATAGAAATTTCTCCAAAATAATTTTTAATAAAAATATTTTAGGAATATATATAAATTTCAGGGGAGGGGAAGGAAAGGGACATGAGGGGTGGGGACGGGTGGGAAGGGGAGGGAAGGCAAGGCAAGGCAAGGCAAGGGAATGGGCCAGAGGGCTCGGAGGGGAGGGGAGGGGAGGGGATGGAATCTCAAGTATATAAGGAAAATTTTAGGAAAGTGAAGGAAATTTCAAGAAAGAAAATTACATGAAAGGAAAGGAAATCTCAGGAATGAGAGGAGGTGCGGGAAGGGAACAGGAGGAAATGGGAGGGAAGGGGAAGGAATCTCAAGAAAGTAAATAAATATTTCAGCAGGGAAAGGAAAGTTCCAAAAAGGAAATTACAGGAAGGTAAAGGAATATTCAGGAAATGGAAAGACATTTCAGGAAAAAAAAAAAAAAAAAAAAGTCAGGAAAGGTGGAAAGGTAGTGACATTTTCAGAATAGAAATGTCTCGTGAATATTTTTTAAGGAAAAATGTTTTAGGAAAAGTATAGAAATTTCAGTGGAGGAGAGTGGAGGGGAAGGGAGGGGAGCAGAGGGGAGTGAAGATGAAGGGGAGGGGAGGGGAGAGAAGGGAAGGGGAGGGAATCTCAAGAAAGGAAAGAAAAGTTCAGGAAAGGAAAGGAAATTTCAAGAATAGAAATTTCAGAAATGGAAAGGAAATCTCAGGAATAGAAATTTCAGGTAAGGAAAGATAGTTTGAGGAATGGAAAGAAAGTTTTAGGACTAGATTTTTTAATATATGGAATGAAATTTCAGGGAAAAAACTTTCAGAAAAGGGTAGGATTTTCAGGAATGGAAAGGAAATTCCAAGAAAGGAAATTTCAAGAAGGGATGGAAATTTCAGGAATAGAATGGAAATTTCAAAAAAGGTAATTTCAGGAAAGCAAAGGAATTTTCAGTAAATGGAATAACATTTCAGGGAAAAGAAATTCAGGAAAGGAAATGACATTACCAAAATAGAAATTTCTGGTGAATATTTTTTAGGAAAAATATTTTAATAAATGTATAGAAATTCCAGTGAAGGGGAGGGGAGGGGAGGGGAGGGGAAGGGAGGGGAGCAGAGGGGAGAGAAGAGAAGGGGAGGGGAAGGGAGGGGAAGGGAGGGAGAGGAGGGGAGGGAATGGAATCTTAAGGATTGAAAGAAAATTTCAGGAAAGGAATGGGAATTTCAAGAAAGGAAATTACATGAAAGGAAAGGAAATCTCAGCAATGGAAATTTAAGGAAAGGAAAGGAAATTTAAGGAAAGGAAAGGAATTTTCAAGAAAAGGTATTTTAGGAAATGGAATGAAATTTCAGGGAAAAGAAATTCATAAAAGGATAGGATTTTAAGGAATAGAAATTTGTCCAAAAGGATTTTTCAGAAAAATACTTTAGGAATATATATATAAATTTCAGGGGAGGGGAGTGGAAGGAACGGGAGGGGAGGCACGGGATGGGAAGGGAAGGGAAGGGAAGGGAAGGGAAGGGAAGGGAAGGGAAGGGAAGGGAAGGGAAGGCAAGGCAAAGCAAAGCAAGGCAAGGCAAAGCAAGGCAAGGCAAAACAAGGATTTTTTGGAAAAGGTATTTTAGGTAATTTCAGGAAATTTCAGGACAGGAAATTTCAGGGGAGGAAAGGAAATTTTAGGAAAGGAAATTTCTGGATAGGAGAGGAAAGTGAAAGGAAGGCATTTTCGGAAATGTTTTTTTAGGTAATTTCAGGAAATTTCAGGAAAGAAAATTTTAGAAAAGGAAAGGAAATCTCAGGAATAGAAATTTCAGGATAGGAAAGGAAAGTGAAAGGAATGGGAAATGGGCAAGCTTCCTCCATTTTCACTGTAATGAAGTCCCTTTATTCCATTGCTTTAATAGAAATATTAAAAAAAAATATTAAGGTATATTTTTTTGCCTATGCCTTTACAGTCCAGAGATATTGTCCTTTTTTTGAATTGCTACTCAATGGAATTTTTCATTTTTCTTCTGTTGATATTATATAAATTGTTTTTTACCTTTGGTGCATCACCTTTGCCAGCTTTCAGTTCTCTCAGATTTTATATTTTTTTTAATCCTGAGCGTCTCTGTCACCCTTTTGTACTTTATTCGAAGGAGAAAAATTAGGCTGGGCGATGAGGCTCGGTAAGGGCGGCAGTGAGCAGGGTCAGGGGCTGCTGTCACGGCGGCTGTGCCGAGCCTGGACGCTGGATGTCAGTGCAGGACCAGGGACGCGGCAGAGCAGCGCCAGCAGCAGGGGCGGCCTCTGAGATGCCGATGCTGCATGCAAGTAACGGGGAGGTGCAATGTGTCTTTCTCTCTTGGAACTGATGAATTCCAGAACGTGCAAAACGCAACAAAAGCAGACGTCCTGTAGAAAGAATCTTTGCGGTTACAATTGTAAGATACTGGGGTTTTAGGTCCCGGAGCCTTTTACAGAGCTTGCTCAGGTAAAGTCAAAACTACAAATTATGGGATACTCATGTGATTATTTACTATCGTGTTTAATACAGTCAAATAGAAGACCTGGGGCTTTGCTAATTTCTAAATTTAATCAATTTTTTCTTTCCCCAGGAAGTAAAACAAGTTAATCTTAGGCTATTTACTTGTTTCATATTTTTATGTATATTCTCTGCCTTTCACCTCCCATGGCTTCACACACCTTTCCTCGATATACTTCCCATTACTAAAACTCACTTTCATTCATTGTTTTTGCACATTTGCAAGTTTTTAGTGAAAAACCCTCTTCACTTTTTTCTACTTTTCTTCCTAACTCTTTGCTTTTTTCCCTCTATGTTTTGTTTCTACATATGACCTTTACACTTTGGTTTCTTTCAGTCATATTCTCTTTACTGTCATGTTCCCCTTCACTCTGTTATGTTACACGTTTTACTCTGCCCACCTTTTCTGCATAGTTCTTCCAACTAATACCGCCCTTTCTCTTTCTCCCACTTTGCTTTTCCTTTCCTGTGATGTTCCTGTTATATGTTCCCTTTGAATATCATCTTTTCTCATTATTTTTTCCTTATCTGTTTTGTTCTTTTCTTCTTTTGTCCCAGTCAGCTGAATTCTCTCCATCTTTACTATATATCACTGAAAAAAAAACCAAAACATTTTTGACTCTTTAATTTTTCTTGTCATTTCAGGGACTAGGGGTAAAGGACAAACAATGACAGATCACTTCCCGGTCAACATTTCTGCCAGTGCAGTCAGATTTGACTTTGTCTGCAGAGTTGTAGTTTCCAGTAAAATAATGTCTTACAATTTGGATTGTGAATTCAGTCTTCCTGGCTTATTATCTTGCTTTACAATTCAATTCCATTCTTCTCTCAAAAACTTAATTTTTCTTAATTGATAACCATGGAGTCGATATAGGAACATACATCATGTATGCACAAATATGTTATCCACTTTAAGCAGCTGAAACTGAAAAGTCAGTAGACATTAGAGTGAACATACGAAACACAGATAGGTGATAAGCACAGACACACCCAGTTATAAGTGAAAAAAGACTTCTTTAAAATATTTCATATCACTCATCCAGAACTGACTGTTCAATTCTGAGCCTCATTTAAGACATGTAAAATATCTTCAAAAGACCTAAGCTTTGAAGCATGAAATGTCAAACTCAAATGGAAATTAACTATGTGAGTAAATAAAACCTTGACTTTACAGACTCTTACATCTACAAAGAACTTTTCCCTTGCTAACATCTTTTTATGCTGGGAGGACTAACTAATTTTCTTTCAAGCTGATTAACCATTGTTATAAACACTAGTGCAAATAAATAAAAATTATTTCTAACATCTATCCAGCATGAATTTTACGGTTTCTTATCACATCTGATAGAGAAGGTTCAAGATTTAAAAATTGTGCATTGTTTCTACCTGCAGCAAATAATTTAGCCAAATTCCCCTATAACCTATGCTATCTTCTATTTAGGCTATCATTGCTACAATACCACTAATATTTTCTTATTTATAACTTCACATATTATTTGGTCATAATAATTTCTATTTCTTGATATTAAATAGTGTTCATGTTTTATGACTATGGACTCTTAAATGAAATTTTAATTTTAGCTATTTTTTTCTTTATTAATTGGGATTGCTGATTAGCCTCTAGCACAAGGCATGGGTTTTGCCCGCCCCCCAGACAAATGATCAGACAATGAAAGATAATGCATACAAATAATTCAGCTGTGCTCTTAGAGTGAATGAGTGAGTTGCAACACATAATGATAGAGCTCTATTCCCGTCCTGTTTGAAGACTTAATGGGTACCATACCTCTTGATAAAAAGCATTTCAGTTATTCAGCTACTTGTTATTCATGTAAATGTTTTTATTTCAAAGGAGGAGTGTTTTTGGCATTGCCAGAGTGGGTTAGAAGACCGTTTGTTATGGTGGAGATAGTGGACCAGCCAGAAACTAGAATCAGCTGTATCAGGGTACAAGCTGCAGTAGTGAATAAAATGCCCTCTCAGGCCAAAATAGTGTTAAAGTTCTAACCTGAAATCCAAGGCTTTTTCTCCATCCAGCACTCTTTCTCTTGATGTTTATTGCAGTAGCTCTTGCTATTTTTATAAATCATTTAAATGCCAATTTTTATAAACCACTAAAACATTAATTTTTTTAACCCTGGTAACATCTTGTGTCACTATTTAAGCAGCTGGAGTTTCTGCGCGAGTTGTTCTTGGAGTTCAGTGATACAGCTGTGACAGGCAGTCTACCATTGAACTGTGGTTTTGGGCACTGTAGCAACAACCATGCAAATAGTACATGTGCTCAGCTGAATGAAAAATGACACTGAGGTTCCATATTTTAAACTGTTTCTGATTAGTGCAGTGTTGTTGCCCCAAGTCCCAAAGAAGCACCAGTAAAGTCTATCTTAATTAATATATTGCAGGTAGACCCCCTGTAAATTTGAATTGCACTGAAAGCATAGTATTTGGTGTACTAGATCATAAAATGAGACTGTGCATGGGATGGTTTATTTCCAGTTGCTGCTCTCTTGCTTGGCTCAGTAGGCTGCTAGCCACATGTAACTAAGGCAAATAACTCTACTTTCTCTGAAATTGTTTTGATTATTGTTGTTTGTTGTTGCTGAAGCAATATGATGTGATTTAGTAGGGCTCAACAGAGAAACTGGTTCAGGCATGGCAAAATATAAATTGATCCTTAGCTCAGGACACATTGCTGTGCAACTACAAGGTAAATTCAGAAAAGAAGTTAAAAGTATATGCCAATACTTTTAACTTCTTTTCTGAAAATCATCCCCCTTTCCAATTATTCCTCCTCCTTTCCTTTCTCTCCTTCTCTTTCTCCTTTTCCTCCTTCTTGTTCTCCTTTCCTCTCTCACTCTTGCTCCAGGTCCCCAGCCTGCAGCTAGTAATAGTTTATGGGGCACATTGCTGTGTTAATGGATTGTTAAGGCTGTTTCAGCTGCTGGGTTCTCTGAGAGGTCAGTGTCAGGACTATTTTACTGTGAACCCTTGATATGCAGGGTAAAGCTGGGGACAGGTAGAGCTTCCCCCCACCTCACACTGCAGGGGGCTGAGCTGCTGCAGGCACCCCCTCTCACAGTGTTGCACGGCTGGCAGTGTGGGCAATAAAAAATAATATGTTTCTGATCAAAAGTAATTAGGGCTCAGAAGCATGTATATTAATGGATGAGACATCACATCACAGACATTGCTGATATCTCTTAATTCAGCTTGGAAAAGCTGCAGGTGTTAAAGAGGTGTTGAACGCTGTTTGTGCAATACAGGCAAGTAGCAAAACCAATTCTACAGCTCATAAAGTAAAAGTGAAAATAGGAGCAAATGATTAAAAATACAAAATTTTAGTATAATTGAACTTTTGACACTGGTGTCTGCTAGATTTCTAGAGAAGCAGAGAGTATTACATTTAAGTCAACATCTGGATTTGAAAAGGCAGGATTGTAATATCGCTTGTCAGTTTAAGAAAATGCTATATATTTTCTCATAGATTTTTTTTTTTTTAAATTAATACAGATAATGAGAAAGAGAGAATGTAAAATCCAGTTTAGACATCAAATACCAAAGGAAAAATCCACTTTGCATTTCTAGTATTTCTAGCACAGAGTGGGGAAAAGGCTACCCAAAACAGTAATTTTCTTTCTTTTTCTGGTTAGTCTTAAGATGCATGTTGAGTGGTCAATTTTTGCACTCAGTTGCAAGGTCAATCATAGGCCAAGCATATTTATGCTTTTGTAATAGCAGATTTATTTACTGGCTCTAAATTTTTAAAGGTCTGTTTATTTCATAATACATAATTAATGAAAACTACTTCTCATTGGTTATTTATTAATTTGGAATGCATGACAGCCAGTGTAACATTTATGCAGTGTTCAGTGTATACATGCATATCTTGACAGCTAGGGATGCAATGTATACTCAGAATAAAGGAATAGGATCCCTGAATGTCTTCTACTAGGTGTGTTTTAGATTGTCATATGAATCAACATTTCTCTTGTAGGAAAGGAAATGGAAATAGCTCAGACACAGTCACACATTCTACAAATTTACATTTGTCTTTTTTTCCTAACTTCACGTTCATTTACTTAAGACGCTTTAATTTATCACTTAAGTGTCCCGGCTATGCATATGATCTGCACATGAGAAATTAAAGGTGTAATTGCCTTTAATATGAACCTAATGTGATCCTTCCCTTTCCACAAAATACATGTGAGATATAAGTTAAATTCGAGAGCAAAAGTCCAATGCTAGACTCTGTGATAAAAAGTCAAATTCTGAGTGATAAGGCTGTCAGTGCCCTTAAACCCAGCAGACATTGGTTCAAATGTAATCAAAATATATTTTTCTTTTAGAGGTGGATAAACAAAATTTGGAAATTTGCTGTACAGCATAAGCATCCTCTGTACTGGGAAATCTCAGTCAGAAAGCATTTGGTTACTGGAAACCTGCAATGCATACATGCCAAAACAAGGTTACTGGGGATTTTCAAGTCTTAGAAGTCTCATAAAAATTTAACAGGGGAAAAGTCATTATTTTTGTGGTACCAAAAGGCTAGAAATGATAGTAAATTCTGGTGCTTCCTATGAGACTGTTTGGAGATAGAAAAGAGGGGATTAGGCAGAAAACAGCCTGCTAGTTTTTCTCACTGTTGATTGAATTGTTAGCACAGAAAGAAAGGAAGAAAAATATATATACCTCAGTAGTACATATTTGACAAATTACAGTAAAAATTGATGTTTTATCTATTCAAGCTGTAGTGTTGCTGCTGAACCTAGATTTCTGTAAACACACATGTTTTTTACATCTTTTTTTAAAAGGAAAGCATGAAACAAATCTGTAAAAAAAGGCATACATTACATTTGCCGTGGGTCAAATGCCTGCTGCAGGTGAATATGAAAATGAATTTAATCCAGAAGGCTTTATAGTTACTTGGCTATTTACTCATGCCTTTG